GGCTAGATAGTAAAGAAGCTACCCTTGAACCTTTGGTAACCACGAATCTAAAGCCTGCAATGGCAATAAGTACATATCTTTCAATAATCACCCTAAATGTAAATGGATTGAATGCACCAATCAAAAGACACAGAGTAACAGAATGGATAAAAAAGCAAGACCCATCTATATGCTGCTTACAAGAGACTCACCTCAAACCCAAAGACATACACAGACTAAAAGTCAAGGGATGGAAAAAGATATTTCATGCAAACAATAGGGAGAAAAAAGCAGGTGTTGCAGTACTTGTATCAGACAAAATAGACTTTGAAACAAAGAAAGTAACAAGAGATAAAGAAGGACATTACATAATGATAAAGGGGTCAGTCCAACAAGAGGATATAACCATTATAAATATATATGCGCCCAATACAGGAGCACCAACATATGTGAAACAAATATTTATATATTCTTTTTTGTATACTTTAATAGCAGTTTCAGTTTTTTTCTTCAGAGACCTTTGAATTTTTTGCTAAGGTATTTCCTGACTACATTCCATTTCTGGTTGCCATTGTGAATGGTAGTTTATTTTTTATCATATATGCTAGTTGATTATTTCTAGAAATGCCATGATGGTTATAAGTTGGTTCTGTATCAGATAACCTTAAGCTTTTATTAGTTTGCCTATTTTTTATTTTTCTAAGTAATCTCTACTTTAAGTCCTTATACATTTTATTTATTTTTCTTATCTTATAGCATTGACTGCTATAACTAATACTATGTAACAGTGTATTGGATAGTATGAATCTTTGTTTTATTCCTAGTATTAGTTGTCTATTGCTGTGTAACAAATTACCTCTAAACTTAGTAGCTTAAAAGAGTAATGAACAATTATTATTGTACATGGTTTCTGTGGGTCAAGAATTCAGATTAGCATAACTCAGTGGTTCTGGCTGAGTCTCTCCTGAGATTGAGGTCATTATATCATCAGGGGCTGCAGGATCTGCTCCCAGCGTGCTGGCTCACGTGGCTGTTGGCATGAGGCCTCGGTTCCTCAGCATGTAGACCTCTCCACAGGACTGCTTGAGTGTCTTCATGACATGGCAATTAGCTGCCCCCAAAGTTAGTGATTCGGGAGAGGGTGATCTGTGGTAGAGCAAGATAACAGCCCTGATGTCTTTTATGACCTAGTCTTAGAATTCACACTCCGTCAGTATCCTCTAAGTCACATGAGTCATCCCTATTAGACATGAGAGCAGACTATATGAAGGCATAAATATCAGGAGGCAGGGGTCCTTTGGAGGCCATTTTGGGGGTCTAGAAATCACATCAGTCTTAAAGAGAATGCTTTTAAATGTTTCTGTGAAGAATTATGTTTGTTGTAAATTTCAGATAAAAGGCCTTTGTCAATTTAAGTTCCCTTCCATTCCTGGTTTGTTGAAAGATTCTGTTTTTTAATCATTTAAAAAAAAAAGAGAAGAAGACAGTAAGAGGTGGGTGGGGCAGCAGCCTCACAAGGAGTTTACATGGGACAAGCCTGTGTGGACAGAGGCAGCTTTGGGTCTCTCCCTGAATCCTGTGTGATAACAATAGGCATTGGCCCTTTGTGGCTGAAGAACTCTGGAAAACAGCCTTTTCTTTTTCTGCCTTGTGGGAATTGTCATAGCCATTTGCTTTTTTCTTTTTCTTTGCAGTGCCCAAGACAAAGATTTTGGCCACTGGAGGGGCCTCTCACAACAGAGACATCTTACAGGTAAGTGCTGGTAGCAGGCCCTGCATAAGGGCCTCTTCCTCAAAGGTTACTTCTAAGAGCCAGACCCTCAGCAACAAGGACTGCTCGTTGCCCCTCCTGCAGGTGTCCCAGGAAGCCAGCCCTGCTGCTTCATGCTCACCTGTGAGCAGATTCTGTCTTGTATTCAGGTGAACTGTGCTGCCCTGTATTACTCCACTTCTGATGGAGTGGTTCTGATGGACAGCCTCTGGAGTCACACAGAAAGTTCCTGTCCTTCCACATGGGAAACTTTCTGACATCTAGTGCCAGTATGCTTGTCTTCCTCAGGGTTTCTCCCTTCCTATTTAAACATCTCTGATTTTCACACCCACCCCTCTGATAATACAGTTGCCAGACTTTGACACTGCCTTTCCGGTCCTCCATTATACCTGAAATACATGAACAAAAGTAGAATCAACCTGCAAATGTCTGACAATTAGGCTGTCAAATCATGGGGCTGTCAGTGTCTTATTGGGACTCTGATCATTTTTAGATGTAGAGGCTGCCTTAACCATTTGAGTAACTGCCGCAGTTGATTTGTACTATACCCATCTTAGGTAAGAGTTTCTAGAAGAGCCTGAAATAGGAATTCCTCTATAAGTGGTTTGTTGAGAGAGTGCTCCCAGGTGAAGGGGGGTGAGGGGTGCAGGGGAAAGGACGAACAGGGATGTGGGCTCGGCTGGAGCTGGCCTCAGCTCCATCCCATGGGGAGATCTATAATGTAACCCACAGACTTGGTTCTGCCTTGGGTTAAGGGGGCCAGTGCTGCCCTGTGGGAGGGGAGAACAGCCTCCTGTGAGAATCAGCTTTCCTCCGTTCAGGAGCAGTAGCTGTGTGCCATTAGCAGCCAATACTCACAGCATCTACAGCATCTGAGGGAGTGGAGCACGCCAGTCCAGGAACGGAAACCAGCTGGGGCATTAGCAGCATCTATTACGTTATCTCTGGTCAGCTAAAACCTCCAAGGCCTTTCCATGTGAGCTCCTTTTAGAACACGTCCTTCATTCTAAATGTGTGCAATTTATTTTTGGGACCCAAATGGGATCCTTTATTTTATCCCTGTAAGTCATGCCCTTGTCAGTTTGGGTGAGTTTGGGCTTGTTGATGTTAGTCTGATACCTAGCCATCTCCACCTTGACCATTTGCTCAGCAAGCTTCCTCAGTCTCCCTCCTTGTCTTTGATAAAACAGTGAAACAGTGCAGGGACAACCTGGATATCTGTGGTCCTCTGCTAGAGACTTCCCCCAGGTCTGGCCCTGAGGGCATGGCTCGTGTACTTCCTGTACGGCTGTAGGATGGGGCCGCAGTCATGGGAACCTATGAGAAGAGAGCCTGGGAAGTGCCGCCCGAGCGCCTGTCCCTCTGCACAGTGAGTAAGCCCCTTTGTCCTTCCAGGTGCTTGCAGATGTGTTTGGCGCCCCCGTGTATGTCACAGACACTGCCAACTCAGCCTGTGTGGGCTCTGCATACCGCGCCTTCCACGGTAGGCCAATGGATGGAGGCTGGATGCCCCTGGGAGAGGTTGGGGTGCTGCTCGGACCCAGGAAGGTGGCAAGGGGAGATTGGCATGTTCCCAATCTTTAGGGACATTGGTGTCTTGTGGGCATTGGCGTCCTTTTTCTTCCTCCCAGTGTGCAATAACCAACCCAAACCTATTGCTTGATTCTCTACTTAAAGAGGGGAAGGGAAGGCAGGGTCCTAAGTGAATGAGGCCTGGTCAGAGTCAGGCTCAGCACAGGGACATGGGGACAGCTGTAGGGCCCAGACTACTGTTGGGACAGCTGGTGGGCAGGAGAGGCAATGAAGTCCAGAGCCTTACCTTCAGCAAGAGCAGGAAACTGAGGCAAAGGCAAAGGCTTCAGAGCCAAGCAGTCCAGGACCCTGGACAGCTCCACGGCCCATTGCTCTGAGGGGGCCTTCCTGAAACCCAAGTCCCAAGGGAACCACCCACCTGGGCAGGTCCCGGCCTACCCACTGGGCATTCTTCCTCCCAGCTGGTCAGCTGGCCTGTCCTCTGCCTGCTCCTAGGCTGGGCTCTGCCCTCTTCCCCCTTCCCATGTTTGCTCTTAACTTTTTAAGACCTATTTAAACTTACATTTTTCTGTCAACATTGATGCTGAATCAGGGAGCATACCCTTCCCTTAATAGTTAACCTCTTACTCTGTTTCCCCTTCCGCTCTGCCCTGCCCACTCACCCCATGTCATGCCACCTACCCTGTCAAGATCACTGGGCAATTCATTTACAGGTTGTCATATTTTTTATTAAACTTTACAGCGTATTGGCTTTTATTTACACGTACCTATGAATTTCTTTTTAACTCCCTGCAGTATCTTTCTCCTGCTTCATTTCTATGCTAGTTTTCTTGGAGTATACAACCTGAATCAAATTTTCAGAGGGAAAAATTCAGTAGGTGGTGATTTTCTGAGGCCTTCCATGTCCAGCCATGGCTTTGCTTGACCTTCCCAGAGAGTGCTTCCCTGGCTGGGCAAAAGACTCTAAGTTCAAAATACTTTTCCTCAGAACTTTGGAAACACTGTTCTGTAATCTCCCAGCCTCCAGTGTTGCCCAGAGAAGCCTGGGGTCTGCTTCCTACCCCTCCCGAGGAAGGAAAGGAGCTACCCTTTGGAGACTCCACAGCTATGCTGCCCTTTTTAAAATTTTCCCTTTTTTTGCCTCTTTAGTTGCCAAGGGTTACCTGGGGTACTGCCCTGCTCTGCCCTCCAAAACCAAGGCCCACACTGAGTACTAGCACACCAGGACCCACCCCAAGGCATACCAGCCACTTTATTTGGAATCTGTTCTCCCCTGCTGGGCTGGGGGTGAATCTCCCACACAGGGGGTCCTGGACCACTTGATTAGCCTCTATGCCAGCCATCCACACTCATCCCTCGGCCCCACAGCTGTGAGCTGGGGTGCCCAGTGTCCGGTCAGAAAGCAAAGCCCTCTTTCGCTCCTGCTGGTGTGGCGTCTCCTGTCAATCTGGTACTGCTCCTTAAGTCACTGAGGAACCCCTCACTGTTTCTTGCCCACCTGTGGCAACCTTCCCTCTCTTCCATCCCCACCATTCATTTGCTTAGTGAGCATTTACTGAGTGCCTCCTGTATGCGGGCAGTGTGCTAGGACCCAGAGCCCCAGTCTCTCACCTCACAGAGCTTCTGGCTCAGCAAGGGAGGGACCGTAAACAACCCTGCGGGCAGTAATTGTGAGAACTGCTGGAAGACACTGAGGGCGGAGGGTTAGCGTGCCTCCCGGTCCAGTGTTGGTCGTAGCTGCAGCTCCTCTGAGGAGAGGGAATAGGTACACGAAGAGAGGAGGGAGGAACATTCCAGGCAGTGCAAGGCTCTGAGGCAGAAGGATTTGAAAGAAGCCCAGGAGGCTGGATGCTGTGAGCCATGGGGACAGTGGAACCACGCGAGGGAGGAGAGGCAAGCAGAGACCCCGCCATCAGCTGTCAGGTGTGGTCAGGTGTCTGGTTGGTGCTGTCGTGCCTAAGACAAATGAGGCCCTGCTGGAGGGCACCTGCACTTGACATTTCTCTGTCTCTCTTTTTTAATGGTTTTATTGAAGCACAATTTATATAGCATAAAAATCACCCAATTAAAAGTGCACAATTCAGTGATTTTTAGTAAATGTAATCACTTGTTCAACCATCATAATCCAGTTTTAAAACACTTTATCCCCATGGGATAAAATGCTGTTTCCAGTTACTATCTTCACTTGCAGCGTGCACTGTCGTGAAATGAGCTTTTTCTTCTAGGCCTTGCAGCTGGGACGGGTGTACCCTTCTCAGAGGTTGTGAAGTTAGCCCCCAACCCCAGATTGGCTGCAACCCCCACCCCAGGAGCTTCTCAGGTGAGAGAATATCAGAATTCAGTCAAAGCCTTTGCATTGTGAAAACCAACTAGGTTCTCTTTTCCAAAGGTAAGTTTTTCTGTGTCACCTACGTCAAAGTTGAGGTGCTCAGCTAAAGGAGAAATCCTCTTTTTTAATTGTCAAGGGAGCAGAGCAAAAAAGCCTGGCTATTAACTGAGATTCACAGGTACTGCTGACTTTACAGCCGCAGGTGTCAGGTGGGGCATATCTTCATTGATCCATATAACAAAGTGGGGCCTGTTCATTCATGGGGTTACAAGGAGCCCCTGAAAGACTCTGTCTTTAGCATAGGCTGCACTGGGTTTCAGCCCTCAATCTAAAGTCTAGATTCAAGACCTCTGTCTAGTCACTCTGACCCAGAAATCCCTGTGAAGTCAGGGTCACTGGTTACCAATGGGTCCCTGGGAAGCAGTGTTGATTAGGGTGCAAAAGTTTTATTAGGGGGTGCAGTTTATTAGGGGGTGCTCTTGGGATCCACATCTGTGGGAGGGAAAGGAGGTTGCAGGGGTGGGGCAGAGTGAGGAGGGGAGGTACAGGACCTTCTGAAGCTGGGGTGGCCCTTTAGAGTTTTACCCCACTGGGGTGAGGAGGCCGGAACTTTGTACTCCATGTCAATCAGTCACTGCATGCAGGCCACCCAGGATGGGGTAAGGCAGCTCTCTACAGCCAAAGCAATCCCCAAAGCAGAGGGCAATCTGGGTGCTACATCTCAGCACCTCCCACACCACCGTTCCTGTATGCAGAAGTTTCTTGCAGCCAGCAGTAGAGGCAATGCAGACTGAGGCCTTTATTACCCCAGAACAGTGGGCAGCACCAGCTTCATGCTTGGTGGATGCATCTGGGTCACAATGGAGAGACCCCGAGCTTATGAAACCCCCAGCCTTATAAAGGAGCCACAAGCAAACTTGCCCAACCTTTGCCCCCAAAGGAGACATCATCTTTACTCTCCCGGTCAGCAACAAACTTTCCCTCTGCCCTGAGGGTGACACTATCTCTGTCTCCCAAGGCTATTAGCTATACAAACATCCTTGAAAAGGTAGTCTGGAACAAAAGCTGTCACCGATGTATAGAAGCAGTATGGAGGATTGTCTCCCAGCAGAGGTGGAAGCAGAAGCTTCCGGGGGACTGGCTAGCCCACACACAGGTGTGCCCAGGCTTCCGTGATTTCCTGATGTGTGCCCTTATGCTTAAGAGCAGCTCAGTGCAGTAGGAAGACTGTACGTTACTATGGGCCCCTCACAGGACCTTGAGCAGCATTCCTCATCTCCAAATCTCTGTTTCTTCATCTGTGAAGTGAGGACTTCTGTCCTGCCTACTTTTAACCTGCTAATTGTAGAGCTTACAAAGAACCCTTGACTACAATGACTTTATGATACAACAGAAGTCTGAAGGTAGTTGCCAGCATTGGTTCAGAGGTTTGATAGCATCAGGGTTCCAGGTCGTGTTCCCTGTTGTTCTCCAAATAATACCAGCCATAGATAGCGGGAACATCATGAGAACCATGTGCGTCATCTTAGATTTTCTAGTGGTCTTTTTTTTTTAAGTAAAAATAAATAAATGACTAATTTTAATAACATTTTATTTAATCCAATATGTCCAAAATACTGTCATCTCCACATATGATCAATAAGGAAAATTGCTAATGTGATATGTTACATTCTTTTTTGTATCAAGCTTTTGAAATCTGGTGTGCATTTTATATTCTAGCACCAGTCACATTCAGGGGCTCAAAGGCATTGATGGCTTGTGGCACTATATTTGATGGTGTAGCCCTAGACATGCTCCCAGTAATTACAGGATGTCTGCAGCTGTGCCAAGCATCCTGTCCCCCCACAGGTGTATTCACAGGCAGGAGCCAGAGTATGGCATTGGGTAGAGTCCCTCCTCCCTTGCTTCTTGCTTATCAGGGAGAGACATACTGGTCTGGTCCCTTCAACTCCGTGAAGACTACCATTTGGTCATTTGGTCAACCTTCACTGTAAGAAAGGATTGGGTGAGGTCCAGCTCTTCCATCCTCTCTAAAAAGCCAGCAAGGAAGATGGTTGTTGGGGAAAGCTTTAGGGAAGCCAGTAGCTGCACCTGCCTCGTGCAGGTGCCAGGTACTCAGTGTGTGCCGCCAGTCTCCCTGGCTTGCCTGCAGGCAAAGTCACTACAAGCTCATGGAGCTCATAACCAAACCTGAGCATAACCTCAGAATCCTTCTTAACACCAGGCCGCATGTGGTGACAGTCTGTAATCATTGGCTTAAGTGACCTGTTTGAGGCCTGGATTGTAACTCCTTGAGAGCAGGGCAGCATCCTCCATTCTCCGCTGGGCTCAAGTGGAGACTCAAAACAGGAACCACATTTCTACTGCGCTCAGCTGAACATTGAAGTCAGTGCCCCTCTGGGCTCTCCGACAGCATGCAGGGACAGAGTGGCTTCAGCTGCACCACAAGTAGGCCCTACTTGCATAATCAGTACTAAAGTACTTGACTTGGAGGCTAACTAAGCCAGATTAAGAAGGGATGGGATTGGCATGAACTGCTTGGTGTGTGTGTGTGTGTGTGTGTGTGTGTGTGTGTGTGTGTGTGTGTGTGAATCCCAAGGGAATCTGGGTCCCATGGTCTCAAGGGTTGCTTGTCTGTGAGACAAGCTGTGCCCATTTGAAGTGCACCTACATTTCTGAGGCAGGGGTTACCAAGCCACAGGTGAGAACAGCTTATAAAAGGAGTGGAGGGCTATATAAAAATCAGCTTTAGAGATTCAAGATGGCAGCATGAGAGGTGAGATGGAGAACTCCTCCCAAAACCACAAATAGTACAAAAATATAATTAATTAATACAACTAACCCTAAAACAGCAAGAAGAAAGAAGTCTGAACCAGACTGCATACAGACCTCATGAACAGAGCAGACCTCACGAAACAGGGTAACATAGGAAAGCCTTAATCTGGTAGGACCCAGGCCCATCCCCCACCCCATCTCACCGGTACGAGGAAGAGAAATGGAGTGGGAAGGGGGTGGAAGCCGGGGACTGCTGAACACCCAGCTCTGGAGATCTCCTCTGGGAGCAGAAACCTATATTGTGTGGTGCTCTGGACGTTGGGGAGCTCGGACAGGCAGAGTGCTTGAGAGACTGAGATTCCGGCTGTTTGTGGAGGAGGGGATCCACACCCAGCCGCTCTGTGTCAGAGGAAAGGCAGGCAGTCTGAGAGGCCAGAAGGGAGTGGCATGATATATATAATGCAATGAAGCAGAAGGACCTTGAACCGAGAATACTCTACCCAGCAAGGTTATCATTTAAATTTGAAGGAGGGATTAAACAATTTTCAGATAAGCAAAAGTTGAGAGAATTTACCTCCCACAAACCACCTCCACAGTGCATTTTGGAGGGACTCCTATAGATGGAAGTATTCCTAAGGCTAAATAGATGTCACGCAAGGGATAGACAAAGAGTACAGAATATGATTCATAACATACAAAGAATGGAGGAGGAAGAAAAAGGAGGAAAAAAAAAGAACCTTTAGGATGTGTTTGTAATAGCATATGAAATGAGTTAAATTAGACTGTTAGATAGTAAGGGAATTACCCTTGAACCTTTGGTACCCATGAATCTAAAGCCTGCAATGGCAATAAGTACATACCTATTGATAATCACCCTAAATGTAAATGGTCTGAATGCACCAATCAAAACACATAGAGTTACTGAATGGATAGAAAAACAAGACCCATCTATATGCTGCCTACAAGAGACTCACTTCAAACCCAAAGACATACACAGACTAAAAGTAAAGGGATGGAAAAAGATATTTCATGTAACTAATAGTGAGAAAAAAGCAAAAGATTGAAATTGTACCAACCAGCTTCTGAGATCACAAAAGTATGAAACTAGAAATAAATTACCCAAAGAAAACAAAAAAGCCCACAAACACATGGAGGCTTAATAACATGCTCCTAAATAATCAATGGATCAATGACCAAATAAAAACAGAGATGAAGAAATATATGGAGACAAATGACAACAATAATTCAACACCACAAAATCTGTGGGACGCAGCAAAGGCTGTGCTAAGAGGGAAGTATATTACAATACAGGCCTACTTCAGGAAAGAAGAACAATCCCAAATGAACAGTCTAAACTCACAATTAATGAAACTAGAAAAGGAAGAACAAATGAGGTCCAAAGTTAGTAGAAGGAGGGACATAAGAAAGATTAGAGCAGAAATAAATAAAATTGAGAAGAATAAAACAATAGAAAGAATCAATGAAAGCAGGAGCTGGTTCTTCAAGAAAATAGACAAAATAGATAAACCCCTACGCAGACTTATCAAGAAAAAAAGAGTCTACACACATAAACAGAATCACAAATGAGAACGGAAAAATCACTATGGACACCACAGAAATACAAAGAATTATGAGAGAATACTATGAAAAATAATATGGTAACAAACTAGATAACCTAGAAGAAATGGACAAATTTCTAAAAAAATACACCCTACCAAGGCTGACCCAGGAAGAAACAGAAAATCTGAATAGATCAATTACCAGCAAAGAAATTGAATTGGTAATCAAAAAACTACCTAAGAACAAAACCTGTGGACCAGGTGGTTTCACTGCTGAATTTTATCAAACATTTAGTGAAGACCTGATACCTATCCTCCTTAAACTTTTCCAAAAAGTAGAAGACGAGGGAATAATCCCAAACTCATTCTATGAGGCCAAATCACTCTAATACCAAAACGAGGCAAAGATACCACACACAAAAAAATTACAGACCAATATCCCTGATGAACATACATGCAAAAATACTCAACAAAATATTAGCAAACCAAAGTCAAAAATACATCAAAAAGATCATCCATCATGATCAAGTGGGATTCATCCCAGGGATGCGAGGATGGTACAACATTCAAAAATCTATCAACATTATCCACCACATCAACAAAGAGAAGGACAAAAACCATATGATCATCCCATAGATGCTGAAAAAGCACTCGACAAAATTCAACATCCATTCATGATTAAAACTCTCAACAAAATGAGTATAGAGGGCAAGTACCTCAACATAATAAAGACCATATATGACAAACCCACAGCCAACATTATACTTAACAGTGAGAAGCTGAAAGCCTTTCCTTTTAAGATCAGCAATAAGACAGGGATGCCCACTCTCCCCACTTTTATTCAACATAGTTCTAGAGGTCCTAGCCATGGCAATCAGACAACACAAAGAAATAAAAGGCATCCAGATTGGTAAAGAAGAAGTTAAACTGTCACTGTCTGCAGATGACATGATATTGTACATAAAAACCCCTAAATAATCACTCCAAAACTACTAGAACTAATATCTGAATTCAGTAAAGTTGCAGGATACAAAATTAATACACAGAAATTTGTTGCATTCCTATACACTAATGATGAACTAGCAGAAAGAGAATCAGGAAAACAATTCCATTCACAATTACATCAAGAAGAATAAAATACCTAGAAATAAACCTAACCAAGGAAGTGAAAGACCTATACCTGAAAGCTACAAGACACTCTTAAGAGAAATTAAAGAGGACACTAATAAATGGAAACTCATCTGCTCTTGGCTAGGAAGAATTAATATTGTCAAAATGGCTATCCTGCTTAAAGCAATCTATGGATTCAATGCAATCCCTATCAAAATACCTACAGCATTCTTCAATGAACTAGAGCAAATAGTTCTAAAATTCATATGGAACAGCAAAAGACCTCGAATAGCCAAAGCAATCCTGAGAAGAAAGAATAAAGCAGGGGGAATTACGCTTCCTGACTTCAAGCTCTACCACAAAGCCACAGTAATCAAGACAGTTTGGTACTGGCACAAGAACAGAGCCACAGACCAGTGGAACAGAATAGAGAGTCCAGATATAAACTCACACATATATGGTCAATTAATATATGATAAAGGAGCCCCGGATATACAATGAGGAAATGACAGCCTCTTCAACAGCTGATATTGAAAAAATTGGATAGCTACATGTAAGAAATGAAACTGAATTATTATCTAACTCCATACACAAAAGTAAACTCAAAATGGATCAAAGACCTGAATATAAGTCATGAAACCATAAAACTTAGAAAAAAATAATAGGCAAAAATCTCTTGGACATAAACATGAGCAACTTCTTCATGAACATATTTCCCTGGGCAAGGAAAACAAAAGCAAAAATGAACAAGTGGGACTATATCAAACTAAAAAGCTCCTGTACAGCAAAGGACACCATCAGTAGAACAAAAAGATATCCTACAGTATGGGAGAATATATTCATAAATGACATATCCAATAAGGGGTTGACATCCAAATTATATAAAGAGCTCATGCACCTCAACAAACAAAAAGCACATAATCCAATTAAAAAATGGGCAGAGGACCTGAACAGATACTTCCCCAAAGAAGAAATTCAGATGGCCAACAGGCACATGAAAAGATGCTCCACATCGCTAATCATCAGAGAAATGCAAATTAAAACCACAATGAGGTATCACCTCACACCAGTTAGGATGGCCACCATCCAAAAGATGAACAAGAACAAATGTTGGCTAGGATGTGGAGAAAGGGTACACTGCTGGTGGGAATGTAAACTAGTTCAACCATTGTGGAAAGCAGTACAGAGGTTCCTCAAAAAACTAAAAATAGAAATACCACTTGACCCAGGAATTCCACTCCTAGGAATTTACCCTAAGAACGCAGGAGCCCAGTCTCAAAAAGACATATGCACCCCTATGTTTATCACAGCACTATTTACAATAGCCAAGAAATGGAAGCAACCTCAGTGTCCATCGTAGATGAATGGATAAAGAAGATGTGGTACATATACACAATGGAATACTATTCAGCCATAAGAAGAAAACAAATCCTACCATTTGCAACAACATGGATGGAGCTGGAGAGTATTATGCTCAGTGAAATAAGCCAGGTGGAGAAAGACAGGTATCAAATGATTTCACTCATCTGTGAAGTATAAGAACAAAGAAAAAACTGAAGGAACAAAACAGCAACAGACTCACAGAACCCAAGAATGGACTAACAGTTACTAAAGGGAAAGGGACTGGGGAGGGTTGGTCGGAGGGAGGGATAAGGGGAAAAGGGCATTACAATCAGCACACATAATGTGGGAGGGGGGCACGGGAAAGGCAGTATATACAGAGAAGATAAGTAGTGACTGTATAGCATCTTACTACACTGATGGACAGTGACTGTAATGGGGTATGTGGGGGGGACTGATAATAGGGGGAGTCTGGTAACCATAATGTTGTTCAAGTACATTAATGATACCAAAAAAAAAAAGGAGTGGAGGGCTTCTTCCTGGTCCTTTTCTTTAGTTGGTCTTGTGGTTTGGCTTATTGCACAGCATGCTCTACATGCAATTTCATAACCCACTTCTTTTTAAATTCTATATTATAGTGTAAGTATTTATGTTCTTAAAAATGTGCATACATATTATTTTTAATGACTGCATAATATTCTGTCAGGCTGGTGAATCATAATTTACCTGAGCATTTTCCATGTCCTAGAGCAGTTCCTCCCAGCTTTTCATTCATTATAATTAACCAGACATGGGTAAGGGGTTAACAAAACTTGTCTCATGATAGCATGAGAATTTGACCTTTGGTTAACTTTCTAGCCCTGTTTCCTTTGTGACATAATAAAAATGGAATGTTACCAGCAACATTGCTTATGTAAAAATGGCTTTTAAGTAGGAAACTGCATCTGGAATGGGAAAACCATGGATTCCTGATGGAAAGTCATACTTAGGGCTTCCCTGAGTTTATGACTTCTCATGGGCATGCCTCTTACCTGTGGAGTTGTTACAAAAGATACCCCTGTGGGATATGAGGTTTCAAAGCCAGCGTGGTTCTTGCACCTGTGCCATGTGGATTCCATCTCTGTGCACCTGAGCTGTAACCTGGGGAGCAGGGAGGGGAGGTGGTGAGGAGGCAAAGAGACCCTTTCCTGGACACTTGTGCAAGCTGCTGTCTGACAACTACATGCTCTCTACATGGTCTCCCATTGAAGAGGCTCCTGCAGCCACTGTACCAACGCGTTTTTCCAGGGTGTGGTTGTGAGGGCCAGGATGTAGCCCATGGTATCTTATGAGTCAGATGTTGTATGGTGCCAAGTCCCTCGGTGGGCCTGGCACCCTATATTTAGGATTATTCCTTAGGAGAGCTTTGTAGAAGTAGAATAACGGGGTCAAAGGCAATTGGCATTTGAACCCCTTCATACAGATGTAAAGACAGGTTGATTTCCAAACGGGTTGCACCACCAGCTGTGTTAATGACACAGCCAACTTCCAAGTCCCTTCACCAGAGTTTTTTTTAAATTTCATAAATTTGATAACAAAAATTAGTTTCTTGTCATAATTTGCATTAAAAAAGTGTTAAACTGTGAGTTTGAGGACTACTAGTGTCTCCTCTTTGTGAACTGATGCTTCCTTTCTTTTGTCCAGACAAACAAGTTGCAAGTAAATGGGATACAACATTTTCAAACTGCAAGTTGCAGAGATGTAAGAGGCACTTGCCCTCCCCATTCTAAACTGCTCTTTCTGCTCCAGGTCTACGAGGCCCTCCTCCCGAAGTATGCCAAGTTGGAGCAGAGAATCCTGTCCCAGACCCTGGGGCCTGTGGCGTGAATTCCAGAGTTAACCCTGCCTGCCTGAACTCACTGACGCACTTGGAGATGCAGCTCTGGACGGCAGGGGTCCTCTTGCCTGTTCCCAGGGGCTCTGCCTGCCCAGCCCTGCCTGGCACCACCTTAAAGCCCCCTTAACACATCGTCTTCAACATAAACAGGCTGCTTGTGTTCTGTGCCCTTGTGGTCAGGGCAGGAAAGCATCTCTTCCTGTCTTTTATCCCAGGAGGTAGGATAACACTGAGTCTGCAATATAGCCAATAAAAATGGACTTTTCCCCTTTCAAAGGCAGAAATAAAGCTAATACAGGGACCTAAGTCCACAGAATTGGGGAGACAAATAGCCCCCACATCCTAAGCCCGGCCCAGTCCCTACTCCAACCCTGACTGGCCACTCCTCCCAAGCCCTGACCCACAGCCAGCCCCATCCATCCTCTCTCCCATCGCTGACTTCCCAGCCGCTTTCCCCTCCCTCTGGCCCTCTTCAGCACCCTCCCAGTTTCCTTTCTGGTCTTCTCCAAGTTCACCTTTATGCTCTTACCTTTCTCCTTTCAGCCTCTGTCCCCTCCCCTCCTTGATCATCTTTCTTCCCTCCCTATGCCCACCCAGTGTAACTCACCACCTCCCACCCAAAACCCTAGGCTGGCCTGGTGAATGTGCTTCCCATGCCCTCCCTTCAGCTGTGCCTATGGGCTGCCAACTCCCAGGTACACAGATCATGTGGAAGAATCTCTCCCAGGCAGCACCACGTAGCATCCTTCCCTCCCTTCCTCCCTCCCTCTCTCCTCTTGCAGTTCCCTTGCTGATAAAACTGGGTCAGTAGTCTGGGAGAATTTCCCAAATTGTGTATTTTGTTGATTCTACACATTAGATGCCTGTATCACCCCCTCCCCAAGGCATGACAATTGAAAGTGTCTCCAGGCATTGCCAAATACCCCTGATGGTGGTTAGGAAGCAAAATCTCCTTAGTTGACAACCCACTGACCTAAAGACTTGATCCCATGCACTTGTGATTATGCAAAGCAACTTCCTAAGATGGTGTGTTCTTCCATCAGGAGGCACGTAATGTCTGGTTTTCTCTCTTTTCTGTGATGTGCATGCCTAGTTCCATTAGTTCCCTAGGAATACAATTTTATTGTTCCTCTTCACTTGTCATCTTGGATTCTTCTCTATGAGAAACATCCATCCCCTATCCAGTTATCCAGTGGTACTCTTTATAAAGGCGAAGCGGAGTAGATTCTTTCCTCTTTATTCACCATTTTCCCAATAATGAGTTGATTCCCAAACACCATCTAATAGCAAATACTTGATTTTACTTTTAGCATCAGTATGATACATTTAAGATATTTTATGTGTTTTACTCCGTGTAATTCCTGCCTGCTTTTTGATAGCCATTCTATCCACCTCTTTTGCTTGCCTGATCTCTCAGTCATTCTTTACTGATACTTCCGCTCAGTCTACTCCTTAGTTATTTCTGGGCCCCAGATCTCTGTCCTCATCCTTTTTCTACCATTCTGCCCTTACTTGTTGGATGATTTCATCTGTTCTTGGGCTTCAGTACTGCTTATACTCTAGTGACACCCTGATCTATGTTTCCAGCCAGAACTCACCTCGAGTCTGCAGCCTTCTCCCAGGGGCACTGCAGCCTCCACTTAGCTTCCCTAGCTCTTCCCCAAACCTTCTCGTCTAGAGTTCCTGTTTCAGTGAGTTGGGCCACTGTCCATCCGTCCATTCCTTCAGGAATCCAAACCCACAACTCAGGCATCGTCTCTCTTTTCCACGCCAGATCAGTCACCCAGTGATTTTGGTTTCCTTTGGTAACTCCTAAAGAAGTTCCTTTCTCTCCATCCTCGTGTTTTACTTTAGGCCTCTTTATTCCTTGCTCAAATTATTGTAAAAGCCTCTCTAGAAAGTCCTCTCAGATCTTCTCCTGCATAATCCTCCACATTTTCCCTCTGCCACAAGCCCTTGCCTGAGTTGGCACTTCAGTTAAGCTAAACTACCTGTGGTCTTACCCAGAGTGGAAAAGTGCTACAAACAGGTCGGCATCCCATGGATCAGAGCAGTGGCTAATGGGAAATCAAAAGGAAGGGGTTTAGAAAATGACTGGGACCAGAAGCATCCCTCTGAGAGGGATGAGGTCATCTAGGAAGGGAATGGTACCCCTTGCAAGCTTGGTGGATGAAGTGGGTAAAGGAAGCCAGAAGCTGAAAATGATGGCCTATCAGCAGCAAGTCAAAGATTCAGAAGAAAATGGACCTCCCACACACACCACTGCATGTTACTTACTAAAGAAAATTTACATTATTGATCAACAGAAAAGGCTCTCTTGAGCCAAGAAGCATAGAACCTCAACTAACTTCCCATTTTATCCCTGCCCCCATAGAGTTGCCTCTTACTGCAAGCATGTCAACACAAATAAAAAAAGAAACTTGCCATCTATGCAAATAGAGGAAGAAAACAAAGAATCAACTTCTCAAGCTGACAAAATACTCCAAAATAAAAAAAAACAGAGTAAACTAACAATCCTTCCAATATGAATTTTTTAATTTAAAAACTACTGTGGATATGAAAGCTACTGCAGATCAGAAATTTAAAACCTCAGAACAAAAAAATGAAAAATCAAGAGGCAAATGTGAAAGCAAGAACTAACCAAACTAGGGAAATAATTTAAACAAAACAATAAAATCATCATAGATGTGAAGACTAAATTGCAGCAAATTAAAATTAAAATAGGAATGACTGCTAATACAGTAAAGCATAAAAAAGGAATGTAAAATGCTAAGACGATAATAAAAAACAATACTTTTAAAAAGCTGAAGGGCCTAGGAAGAAAAATGACCGATAAGAAGAAAGGCAAGGAAAAATGAACATAGATAAAATTGGAGCTCTTGAAGTCAAAAGATAAGGCAGTGGTACAGAGTTAATATTTAAAACTATCCCAAGACAATTTCTGAAAACAAAAGACCTGAATCTGTTTCTTGAAAGGCCTGTCTAGTTCCTTGGAAAATTCACTCATAACAGTCAACTGAGACATCCCAGCAAACGATTTCACTTCAAAGGTGAGGAAAAAACTCTTTAGGCCAAAACAGCTAGCCTCTTCCAATGGAAAAATCAGGTGATATCAGGCTTCTCAAAAAGCAAGTAGAAATGGAGCAACATTTTCAAGAAAATAAAAAACAATATGAACTGTTTTGTGTCCGGCTAAACTATACTGTAAGTATCAATGTTTCTTTTCTTTTTTTAAGTTTTAATCATGCCAGAACTCAGGAAATACTATACTTGAACCCCTTAGAATTCTGCTAAAAGACAAGCTTCATCCAACCTGGAAAAGATTGGGGTAACTTCAGCAAAAGGACTAGTGGCGAGCATTGAATATCTTGAGTTTTACGTCTAAGACCAAAATAAAAGTGGGCATAGGGTCAAAGAATAGTATCAAATGGTATACACTTTGACAATGTGGAAATAACACAACTAAGTAAATAAAGAAGGGAGAGAGGAAGAGGACAATACAAAGAACTCTTTGCTGCAAAGTTAATATGGGTAAGTCAAAGAATATTTAAAGTTGACAAACCACACAGTTGAGGCTTAAATAAGGAAAAAGGAAGACTAAAAACAGTATATAAAGGTAATAGGATAGTGTAAGTAGTATAAAGGTAATCACTGGAATAAAAATGGAAATCTCAATGCCCAAAGAAACACTAATAAAAGCAGTAGGTCACTTAGAAACATACAGTAAATATATCATTATATACATAGTAAATACAATAAGAACAAGCATATGAATCAACTTATTAAATGAAATAACTCATGTATTAAAGAAAAGTTCAGGTTGGCTAATAAACCAACATCTTACTGTTTGTTATTTAGAAGAAACATGCCTAAGGTAAGTAATCCACAAAAGCTAAAAAGTAAAAGGATGGGCAAAAGGACACCAGGCAAATACAAATCATAAAAGTCAAAGAGTGTAATATTGATAGCTGACAAAGGTAGAATTCAGGAAAAAATAGACATGACAAAGGACACCACAGTGCTAAAAGCCACAATTCACAATGAAGATATACTAAGCATGAATGTTATAGCCTCAACTATTTGGCTTGTCATCTTTAAATGCTATTCTTTGATACCCATCTATAGAAATGCACAAAATAAAAATAATGGTGAAAATCTAACATTAAAACAATTTTTAATTTTGGGGGCTATTTTGTACAACTCACTGAAAATAAATGTGAAAGCCTAGATGAATGGTAATGAGCTGGAAAATAAAATTTACTAAAATGACTCCAGTAAAAATAGAAAATTTAGACTGGTATTCATAAAGGAAAAAGAAAAGATAGTTTAAAAAATTATAGAAAAAGGCACTAGGTCTGAAGGCTTTACAGGAGAATTCTACTAAACCTCCATTGACCAGTTATCTCTCTGTTACATCATGTATTCCAGAACACTGGAAAAGATTAAACACTTGCAGATTATTTTTATGAAGCAAATATAACATCGATCGCTATACCAGTTTGCAAAAGTAGCCCTGATTCTACACTTATCCTGTGTCCAATACTTTGTCATGGAGTTTTGTTGTGTCCTCCCTCTCTTGACTCTGAGCTCGGTCATGCAAGTTTGGTCAATTTGATTTTCACAAACATGACACACAAGCAGTTATGCAATTGGGATTTGCCCTCACTTTGCTCCCTTCCTTTTTCATGAAAAATCTGTGCCTATACTAGCCTGACCGAAGCCACTAGCCTACAGGGTAACGGCTGCCCCAGACATGTAATTGGGTCCAGATGAGACTGAAGAACTGCCCATCTAAGTCCAACATAAGTCACCAGCCTACAGAGTCATGAGCTAAATAAATATTTTTTTATTCTAAGGTATTGAAATTTAAAGTGATTAATTATACAGTAATAGAAAACTGATAAAGAATTTGGTGCCAAAACAAAAAACCAGTATGTGTGACATTGGTACTGGGGTATGTGTGGAGACTGGAAAATGAGAAAGAAAATTATTACAGGAGGCTGAAAAAATGCAAGAAACTGCTAGGGCAGACTGAGTACCTCTGATAACTTGGAAGATATAAAATGTACCAACTGAATATTTGGGCTTGAAAAAATAAATTTGTAGTCAGAGTGTTAAGAATGTCATCTGATGTTCATATACACAACGGAATACTATTCAGCCA